AATTTGGTGACATAGGCATTAAATGTTCATTATTTGTGAACATTTTGAGGTACTTATCATTAAAATATTCAAATGTTTAATATTTTTACTTTAAATACCAAATCCTTGGTTTGAAATGAAATACCCTTTATATATAAATTTATATCTTTATATTATTTCCAATGTTATATAATCAATATGAATTTTAAAAGTTTGAAATTTTGGAAAGCAATAAATAAGTATTATTTGTGACAAAAAGGACCTTTCATTTTGAATACTAATGTGTTGCGAAACGTTTTATTACTTTCCATTTATTCAGTAATTGTTTCGTAAATTACATGTAGTTTTAAAAAGACATAAATTACTGTAGTTAGAGGTTGGAAAAACATTTTATAGTTAAATAACAAATTCCGCACGGTTTAAAACATTATTATTTTATTAATTAATAGAAATGTTTTAATATTTTATAAATAATTTTTCATTTCATTTATTACAAAATATTTCGTAATATAGTGCTTGTTATAGAGATTCATTAAAAATTAAATTTAGTATTTTAATTCATTTTTGACATGAATTTGGCTACCATTTAGGATTTACTAACGACTAACTGCAAATTATTGTAATTAAATTATCGTTATTTAGTTAATTATGTTAATACTTTCAACACGAATCAGTTATTTTAATATTATTTAAAGGATTATCTAAACATGTTAAAATTTAGATGATTTATTAAATATTAAATTATATTTTTATGTGCATTTCTGTGTATGAATTTAAAAAAGTATAAGGATTATAAATATTTAAATAATTTTGTTTTGTCATCTTTTTTTCATTGAAATCCAAGACAAACATTAAGTGATGAACAGATAACTAGTATTCAAACAAAATTAAAACCTTAAATATTCATTATTTTCTCATACAAATAAAATTAATATAACAAAAACATATTTAATATTATGCTTAAAACGTCGCGATTTATTTTAGCCATGAATTTAATTGGTTAATCCATTAAAACAGTTATATAACACATACGATATGCCACTAAAATATATACGATTTATAAATTATAATACTCAAGGATTTGATGAAAACAGTTTCGTGTGCCAAACAGTTATTACACATAATAAGTATAAGTGAATGCATTTTATTGATTAATTAATAGATAATAATCAGTATCTAGTTTTAGTAATGAGAGAGTAATATACTTATACGAGAGAGAGAGAGAGAGAGAGAGAGAGAGAGCTGAGAATCACTTTTTCTTATAATGAATTAATTATTTTGATTTTTCTCTTATTAATAAAACATACATTAAAATAGTAATTTGAGATAATTTTCTATGCCATTTGTATTGGGAATGCGATACAAGCCATGCATTTCTGATAAGTCACGTCAACAATAGTTTCTCAAAAGTTTTTTTCACTCATATATGAAAAAATATTATATTATCTTAACTTTCATTACATTATATGAATACTTGATTAATTTGTGGTTAATTGTATAATGACTACCCTCTGCGGGGAGTTATAGTTTTAATAGTGATTTCTAATTGCATTATATTTCATAAATATTTTTAAAAATATAATTGATTAGCTCATATAAGTAATAATTTTTAAAAATATACAATTTCACTCGTTATCAATCACACAAAAATTATATATGATCATGGTACAGCACTGAATAATGTATAGATTTTTACGTTTGCCTTAAAAATCACAAGATTTAAAAAAAAGTTATTCACTATTAATAGGTATCTAATTATAATAACTTATAAAAAGTACAAATTTGTGTATATTTTAGAAAGATTACAAAAATATTGCAATGATTGATCATAATTATTTAGCATATACTAAAATTTAAAGCAAAATGACTGTATATATAAATTTATATTGGTGAAATCATTACACATATTAGACTTGAAAATTCACAAATTAAAAATTCACAACAAATTTTTGATTGACTATAAAAATCTCAAGCATTTATTTATAGACCTTTGAATGCATGGATTGTAAAACACATAAAACTGAAGGACAGGTAACGATATTTTGTGAACTAATTTATATTCAGATGACAATATAGATCGGAAAATCCAAATCCCAGACCGAAAGGTATGGCATGTATTGGGATGGCATTCAAAAAACAAGATTTTTATACACGTCTTGCCATTAAGAACGGGCTGTTTGTGTGGAAACACTCGTTGGCTGAGTGTCTGTGCGATGAGCACTGGGATGTAGTTTAGGGGCTTTTCATTGCGCCCACAGTCTGAAGGCTTGCATTATTTCGTGTATAATTGATGATCACTTTCCGATAGTGACAGTGAGCCGGGTATTTGGGAGCTTAGCCTTCGGTTTATATGTCTGTGCGCTTATGAATGATAAGTAGGGCTATAATTGAATTTTTAAAACTTTCAATACAGTGCCTATTGCATACAGGTTACTCTAAGTATAACTAGCATACAATTCGCAACATTTAATTTGAATTCACAAAAAAAATATTTTATAAAAAAAGTATTTAAAACTTAATTTAATTTGCAATATTTTCTAGTGTATATTTAATAGTGCTTAATATCACTACACATTAGAAAAATGAATTTATATAATACATAGAAAATTAAGAAATCACATTTATTATAAGTTTCTATTCTAGACGTTAAACTTAATAAAATTTTATTATTTATAGTAAATTGCCTCAACTGTACTGCCCATAAGCACCGGTAAGCCATAAATCTTGCCAAAAACCTCTATTACATTGACGGTTACTATCTGTACATATAATATCAGAGTCTATGATCTCGACGAATTAAACTAATGTTTTTTAAGTGCACTCTAAAGTGACAGTAAATACAATATCACTTTTCCCTATTCAACCCGTTTTTCATATCTTTTTTCTGAACGTTTGAAATGTATTTTTTGTGCAAAAGAGTAGCAAAAAAATTTCAATTTCAAGGCTTTTTGGTCTGAGAGGTGCGGAATGGCTCACAAAAATTGACACAATTTTCGTATATAAAGAGCTGTCGGACAGGTAGCTCGTCCTCACAGTTCTGAAACTGCCATTCCTATAGTTAGCTGACAATTGGAAACCACACATTGAAATATGATCGCTAAGGTATGGCTAATAATTTTATGTCTTTGTGGACATTATTTGCACTGAATATTCTTAACATTGATTCCTATAAACCAAAAAACTTTTCTCTACTTCTGTAATGTATTAAAATTTTTACATCCATTTCCTCGGCATAGGTTCTGATCCTGGCGTTGGCCGCTGCCGTCAACTGCCAATACATCTCCAACTACAACACCGGTCTATACGGCGCCGGTTTGGGTGGTTTGGGCGGTTACTACGGCGCCGGAGTCTCCGGAGGCGTAGTGGGAGGCCTTCCCGTCTACCGAAGCAGCGCACTGTACGGCGGTCTATACGGCGCCAACAACTTGGGATACGGAGCTAACTTTGGACGAGTGGCCGGTTTGGGCGCTCTCCGAACCTCCGGCGCCATCGTCGGTGGCGGTGCTCTCGGCTACGGAACTGGCGCTCTGGTCGCCGGTGGTCTGCCCGCATACGGTGTGGCCGCACCCGCCGTCAGCACCATTGGTCTCGGCCAAGTGGGTCTCGGTGTCAACACCGGCTCCCTCGGTGTCAACCAATACCTGTCGAACCTGAACATCGCCAGAGGTGTGTCCGTACAACAGGCCGGACCCATCAACGCTGCCGTCCAAACCATCTCCCGCACCGTCGACTACAGACCCGTCCCCTATAGCGGAGAGCCAGCGGTCGTCCAAGACATCGATGTCCCGCCCCAGGAGTCGCCCCTCAGAATCAACTTCCAGTCCAAATCCAGCCCATTGGCAGTCACTCAGCAACACATCCCCGGTATGTGTCGACCCAAACGCACAGAATATTCTGTAAATTCATATGACTTGAATTAACTGTCCATTTGTATGGCACCCGTAGCCGAACCCGGTCAGGTCCAGGTGACCCAATCGGAGGACGAGCCCCAGACCGCTGTCCACCAGGTGACCCGCCCGGTCATCCAACAGGTCCAGGAGGTGATCCAGCCCTACAGAACCCTCACCCAAGTGGTGGAGCCCGTCATCGAGCAGACCCACACCAACATCGCACAGGGAGAGGGCGTCAGACTGACCGGACTCACCAGCGGTATTGTCGGCGGAACCGGACAGTTGGCCGCCAGCGGTGTTGGCATTGCCGGAGTGCCCGTTGTCTCCGGTGCCGCCGTCCAGAGGCCCCTCATCGGCGGTCTCGGCCTCGGCCTCACCCAAGGCTACGGACTGGCCCGACAGGGTGGCCTCTATAACACCGGTCTGATCGGCGCCCGTGCCTACGGAACCGGTCTTAACACCGGTCTCATCGGCGCCCGAGCCTACGGAACCGGTCTCAACACCGGCCTCATCGGCGCCCAGGGATACGGTCTGGGAGGCTACCGAACCCTTGGTTACGGATACGGAAATGGTTTGGGGCTTAACGGCCTGAGCGGTCTCTCCACATACGGAACCACCGCCAGAATCGCCCGATACTAAGCACCTGTCCATACGCTCAAACACTCTCAACCCCGTCCCCACCACTCTCTCGCAACAAACAACTCGCATACCCGCACACACCTAATAATAATAACACATTTATTATTACGATAAAAAACACAACTGTCCCCTGAAATTTTGAATATCAAAGTCTATATAAAAACCAAAATCTTATTATAATAATTAATATTATAAATATAAGTCAATACGGATTCAAAAAAATAAATTGTTTTTATTTTACTATATCTTGTTGTATAGAAAATTATTTCCTGATCTCTCTCTCTCTCTCTCTCTCTCTCTCTCTCTCTCTCTTTCAACTAATTATAACTTTTAAGGAATTTATATGAAAACAAATGAAACCTTTTTTCGATGTTTTATAAACATTGAAACAAATATTTGTTAATAAAAAAATTTAAAAACAAAACTTTTGATACACACTTATGTTTCACTAATAAGTTATTATAACTTATAATTACAAAAATTAATCTAATATCAAACAAATAAATAATAATAATATATTTTGTGCTAAATAATTGTGAGTTTTGTAAGCTTTATTTACGCTCATTTATATTTCAATGTATTAATGCACATTATTGCATGCTTGTTAAAATTTCATATTTCAAATGATTATTTAAATTATGGCAGTTTTATACATAACATAAGTAATTTTGATTTACCAGTAAATCAACAGTATTTTTCGTTATTATACTCATTAGCTGTTAACTAAAGTGAACTTTTGTGAAACAAATATAAAACAAAATGTTATCAAAACAGTTGTCATTTATTATAGTAATTATGGTTCAGTTGTATTTATCGGGTATTAGATCTCAGACTCCCGGCCCACCCAAAACACCAGACAGTGAATTAATAGCTAAAATAGGCATAGCTTTCGGTTCATTGGTTTGCGTTATAATGACTGTACTTCTCGTGTGTTTATGTTGTTATCATTTCCGCAATCGGGCGACAAATAGCCGCAAATCAGACTCACCTCCAGTTGAGAAAAAGGGATCGTTTGGAGACCTGAACTCAAATCTAGATATCTCTATACAAGTGTCAAAGGTATCGGTGGGAAGTCCGTCTGAACTAAACTTAAAACCGTTGCCGCCGCCCAAAGCATCACCGAAAAAGTCGATTTATAATACAAATCAAAATAATATGAATAATAAGACAAAAGCGATGAAAGGATTGAGAATTTTTTGACTGAAAAACAAAAGAGAAAAAGTAAATACAATCACAAGATATAAGACATGAGACGATAATCGCATTTAATTTCAACTAATATTAAATTGTTGTAATATATTCTAATGAAATAATTTATAACAAATTATTTGAAAAGTAAATTTACTAAAGTAAAGTAAACCCAAACTATAAAAATAAAATTCTTTCAAAAAATAGTTATTTTAAAAATTATTTTTCATGAATATAACAAAAACTATATTTTAAACCCGAATAAAGAATTAAAGGAAAAGTACATACATTCAGATCACAGACCAAAAGACATGAGCGGTAGTGGAGGTAGAGGTAGAGGTAGAGGAAGAGGAAGAGGAAGGGGAAGGGGAAGGGGTAGCGGTAAAGGTAGAGGAGTTAATGCACCCCATGATCAGCAAGATATGAATTCCCCGGCAAATATAGCCGATATGAGTGACGCACAGCTCACTGTCCACTTGAATACATTGCAAACAATGGACGAAATGTTGGATGCATTGGGAATGAATGCCTTCCCGGGCCATGAGGTGCGGCCTATCGAACAGATCACTGAAAGTGAGGTAAAGGCGTACCGGGATATGAGAAATAAAATCAATGCTCGCAATAATCCCAAACATCGGCGCGGATTTGTTGAGTACGGGAATGAATTGCGGGATCAGTTGAGACACTCCACCGACCAGACCCTCCAAAAAGATAATGAGTTCATCAAAATGCTTGACCACAATATCCGCAACGCTTTTCGTCTTCATATGTATGGACTCGTACTTATGTGTATAGACATCACACAAAGGTATCCACAACAGGTGGTCGACGAGTTGAGGGAGAGGTTCCGGACGTACGCGGAGGCGGTCAACCAGTTTCAGACCAATGGTGCGAACCGGGAGGCACTCGTGGCAGCTCTGGTGGATCGGCGCAATTAGATACGAAGGCTCCGGGAGTACGGTCTCGAGGAGCGCCACGCAATACTTCTCGTCAATTACGACCACTTCCCTCGTAGACCAGGGGACGGGCAGCAATTGGATTTGTACACCCAACTCTACCCAACGGGAGTTCAGAGCAATGAAATTCTGGCCGATCTCGGGATGTTCTACCGACGCTTCCTATTGGACAGAATCGATACACTTCCTGAAGAGGAACGTCCGATAGAGCGCCGCCTTATTGGTCACATCGAAGCGAGGGTTAGGTTCCGATTCGGACAACAGAATAAGTTGCCGGCTGAGGTGTGTCACCCCATACCACGACTGATGGTTAACCTGACCCCTGGTGCTGAGCCCCTGACAAGGAAACGTCGCTCAAAGGATGAGATGGAAAAGGAGGTGAAGCGCACAAAGACAACCACTGGTGTGGAGGACACCACCACCACAATAGGGACGGCCACTTATATCCCTCCCAGAGTAAGGCTGATCACAGAAGTCACAGCAGAACACGTGGAACAGGCCTTACTTCAGCCCCAACTACTAATGCCGCCCTCAATGGTGCAGTCGAGCGATCCGTTTGCAGATATCGACGAACTCGATCCCAAAGATATGGAATTATTGGAGACCATGAACTGGACTGAAGCGCTGAAATCGCAGAGTACAGGCGCTCAACAGTGGGCCACCACATCCACTGCTCCCGGTTCGCTCACACAACTCCCAAACCTCGGGCCCAGTGTTGTGGGCGGGAGTGGAGTACAGACACAACAAAGTACTGGCGCTCAACTAGACCAACAGATCCAACTGCAATGGCGCCAAATGGTGAACCAAATCGGGGATCCCATGCCTCTCCTCGAAAATGAAATCATAGACGACCGATGGGGGGGTCAGGTATTGGAGGCCATTGTGGTTGGTTTTATGCCAACACAAGTGGATGAGGACTACTATGCGGGGCTCATAGACAGCATACGCAGGGATCGAGTAGACAATCTGTTCCGACGGTGCAACAGACCTGATAACCAACCAAATCATTGGGAACTACAGTCTCGGGTCCGTCGGATCGCCTATTTGTATGAACTGCTGAAGCGTTTGGAGAATTACAGGCATAACCGAAATGTTGCCGAATATCAGCAGTTCAACCAATTTATGCACCAAATGTTGGGAAACATTGATATGAATCGAATCATAGGAGTAATCGATGGGTTGAATGAAGTCCTCAATGGATGGATACACCTTCACATTGAACTCCAAAAGATTGGCTTTTGAATGGCCGTAAAAGTTAGACAATTAGGCCTCTTTTGAAGACATCACAGAAAGTGTGTCTTAAACTCAAATAAAAGCGTTTCATTAAATTCATTAAAACTTATATCTTAATAATAACTCCAAACAGTAGCTTATTATAGAAATTAATTCTGTTTTAATAAATATAAAACATGTGTCACCAAAATTCAATGTAAAATGTTTTTTATTATTTTTAAACTTAATTTTTAGCAATTTAAAATTTATTTCTTGTTATTGTAAATCCATTAAATCCAATTAATACAGTTTATTTTTAGATTATGTTTGAGATTGTTAGATAGTGGTATGGTAAACAGGACTTTATAGGTCTAGGTTAAAACAAGCTTACAGTGGTAAGGTGGAGGTGCTAGACATAGCTCGGACATTTGACTTTATAAAATATAGTTTAATTGTCGAATTTAATAAATGAACTCTTTAAGTAATCAAGTAAAATTTATTTATAAATAGTTACAATCTTTAGTTTAATACAAATAGACTTTTTAATGACAATAATTCCTTTACACAATTATTCGTGAATTTAAAAAAACATCCTTATTTAAAATATAAGTTAAAATTGATAATAATTTACTTATACGGTAATTAACTTATACACAATGTTAAGCCAAATGAATATTAAATCTTAGAATATTCTGTATTCCGTACTAAACGAGTGGTAAGTTCTGCCAATTGTTTCAAGTCATCGATATTTACATTCAGAATATTCTCGTTTTGACTAAAATAGTAGCTATCGTTTACTTTCGACAGCTTATATAATACTAGAAAATGCATTAAAAGTACGAAAATACTCAACACTAAAATGATCCGTAAATATAATGACTCTCGTGTCGTGAAATTCATGAACATTTTGATTAGTTTTGGTATGAAATGTGAGTTATTATTGCTATTATTGTTATTATTATCGTAAATATCACCGCCGAAGGCGTCTAAATGGTTGAGTTGTTCCTCGAGATCCGATTCCGGACACGTCAGGAATGATGAGATCGATTCACGTCTAGATTACAGGGGAAAGGGGTGTCATTATCAGTAAGGTTTGAAAATTATACCAAACTATGAAATAATTATCGAGACAACAGTTACTGTATATAATATTATACTTGTGTACTAATTATGAGATAACTTGCAATCTATTGACTGAATCTGAGATTATTATGAAATGTTGTCGTAAGGGATTAAATGGGGTTTAGTATGCGATATATACTTCTTATGTCTAAGTCGATGGGTATGGGATGTATCGTTGAAAACCTCGTCGTCCAACTCCTCTTCCACTATATTCATGTTGTTTCTGGTGATTACACTTAACTCCTCGTCCTTTTTCAAAATCAATACAAATATATCAAACATTAATTTGTGTTAATATGTGAAGTAATCTAGATTGAATAATATTTTTTCAACTTATGTATTGTAGTAAATATGTGAGTTCCCTAATAATGAACATTAAATAATATTTACAGCAAAATCAATTAAATGTAATTATTAGTAAATATTTGTTTAATTTATAAAAGTATTAGATTCTTGAAGCAATAAAAACTAAAAACTTTTTCAATAAGTGTTTGGAAAATACCAAATAAATGTTTATATAGTATATCACTGTTTACTATAACTCGGGCGAAGATTAAGAAAACTAGAAAAATAAAACTTATTATAAAACATAGCAAATAATTACATCTTCCTCGGAATCGGAGGGAACGCCTAAATAGTTGCCGTAATTATAGTGAATGAGTTGCCACACCTCGGACACCGACATCTTCTGGCCGATCATCACGTCCTGCCATAAGCGGTAGATCCGTTTGAACGCCTTATCCCTGGCCACGAACGACGTGAATATATATTTGGCGCCCGTAGTCGTGATAATCTGTATGGCGTTGGGAATGACCCGAATGGTGTTGGCTTTGGTGATGGCCTGGATGTCCGTGAACTTGATGGACACCACTGTCTCCCAGCCGAAGATGTTGGCGTGAAATGAGATGTAGTTAATGGACAGATAGAGTCGGCCCTGGATTAGGATCTCCTTCTGGAGAGCGCACGAGAAGTCGGCGATCAGTCGCTCATTGATTGGCACGGATTTGGCGAACAGTTTGCGGAACTCCACTAATCGGGTCTTATAGGAGGGCAGCAGTAGTTGCGACCACGAAATGGACCGGTTTTTCGGTTTCTTCTCATTTTTGGCTAGAGTTAGAAAATTCAACATTTGTTTCAAACTTTTCATAAAAGGTTTTCTCAATTCGAGAATAGGACTGAATTTATATTCAAGCAAAAAGTCGTTTAACTATTTAATGTTTAGTATGAAATGGGTTTTGGGTTTTGTTTAGCTATAAAAGTAATAAAACTTTTCATATAACAGATAAAATAAAACTGAGTTTATAGGGGATTTCTAGTTAAAGGTTAATTAAATTGAAAACTTATATAACATGAGAGCAAATGTGACAAAAGGGTAGCTATTATATGCTATTTCAATGCCATTCTCATACGACTGGTTATAATACTCGTACGATTGTTATGAAGTGGTTATTGAGTGCTATAATTAATAATCTTTAGCGATAAAAGCTGCTTATTTTCCGTGTACTCCATGAACTTTTTAATATCGAGGATATGAATAGAGACAAACACTGTTTTTGTAAAATTTAGTACACTATGCATATGCATACCAGTGCCAGGGTATTTCATAAGCCCATATACATAGAGAGACTATGCAAATGTCAAAAGTCTTATCTAAGAGACTAATACACACTCACAGTATTCATGACTCTCATTATAATCTCACTTTTTTAATATAACGGTACAGTTATCAATGGGTTACTAATGAATAGTTTAACAAAATATATATATTCATGAAGTATTTTATCGGCAATTTCTCTATGTTATAAAACTAAATATGTATTTTGTTATACAGTTTATTTAGTAATATATCATTATAAATGTTTTTGCTAAAAAATATTTATAAACTATTGATTAAGTTTTTTGGCAAATGTTTTAATGTATATTAGTTATCAATTGGTAGATGTATTGATAGAGTTTATAAAACAGTAAATAAATTAGTTTTCACTTTCAATTAATCACTTTAGTGTCGGAAATATATCATTTCCATTGAAGTCATACATCAAAATCTATTTCATTGAAAAGGAAATACATTTTTAGGGGACGAGTAGTCAATAGGAACAGTACGTACGCCAGCTATTTATTGACACGATTTTTCAATATTTCTATTTTAAGGTTATTTTATGAAATATAGTTATATTAAAAATCATTTTAAATTATTTAAATATATCTAGCACAATAAATATACGAAATATACGAAATATATAAACCTATTGACAATAATATATTATACATATATTGCTTATACTGTATTGTATATTAAGTGCTAGAGTTGATACAAGGTAATTAACTGAATTATTGACACAATTAGCAAATTGCCGTATAATTAAATAGTGCTAAATTAATATAGCAAATTACCATTATAATTAATTATGAGTACAAAGTAGTTATTATTTTTCTACACATACTAGTGGTATGATAAAGCATAAGAATTGGTTTCATATTTAATTAGTTAAACAAAAATTAAAAACAATAAATAATTTACGTTTATCGGTATGATGTGAGCCATTGTACTGCAGACCATTAGTTAGCGCTTGAGTTTTCATTAGATATGTAATAATATCCGAAACAATGCATTCATAAACACATGAGATTTACACGAAAAAATGTTTGTAATACAAAACTTTGACACACAAACCAATTACCAATTACACTGAATTTCTGTATTAATGACAATCAATGTGGAGTCAAATTATTCAAACGCACGGAATCACAGTTACCTATCGTTACACATACTAAGCTTATGGAAATGGTAGTTTTTGTTACAAAATACCATAAAATTATTATTATTGTTGTATTCACACTGGTTATTATCTTAACAGATGTGTGTTTAGTAGTAGTGGTTATTAAAAGTGTTTTAGTGCAGTATATACCATAAGATATACTTATGGCAACAGATATATGGAAAGCACTCTTGAGATGTGATTTAATCAAAAACTTAATGAATTGCGATAAACGAGTAATATTTTTCACATCAAAAGTTCATGAAGTACTGTGTTTTGTCAATATTGTATACATAGTGTACAATACTCGCTATAGTGTACAAAAATTGTGTGTTTACTAAATATTTACTTTAATGGATAACAGATAGAAATAATTTTTCAAAATTGTATAGTATACAATGTATACTAATATATTTTTAGATTTAGATTAAATAAAAATATATAATATAATAAATTTTTTGATAACTCTACTAAAAACACAATATATTTCACACACAATATTCGCACGATTTGACTGACAAATGATATTTAGGTTTGAAAAAATTATAACTATTAATATATTTTTAATGTTAACATTGAAAAAAAATGCAATTACTATTCAAATAAATTGCTATGAAAATAGTTGACACAACTTTTTTAAAACGTCATATAAAATAGTAGTTTTAATTTTAAAACTTTTGAAAACTCACGTCAACCGCGAAAAATATACAGCATATGTTTCACAAAATTAACCCTGAAGCTGTTTTTAACAAATTTATTTTAATACGTACACTACGTATTCAATCTACCGGTGCAAACACATTACTGGACCGTAAGAAAAGGTACACAAAAACAGTTATACCGGTAAATGGAAAGGCATTCATAAGGCAAAGGCTATTGAACTTCTCTCTCAGATATAAAACGCGATTTTTATCTCCTGTTGATTCCCACTATAATACAGTTTATTTGTGGTATTAGATACACGGGAAAACTATATACAGTTTAATATTTATGTCTATTGTTGAATTACTAAACATATAATATGTAGTATATATAAAATTAATTGTGCCAAAATAACATGGTAGGAGAATATTAGATTGTATTTCCATGTTATTAATATATTGTAGTCAATTGTTTTACAAGTTACATAAATAATAAAACTTTATATACAGTACTTTATGTACATTAGAATAAAAGTAATTGAATTGAAAAGTATGTCTATTCTTAAAGTGAATAATTTTAATATATTTGGTTTTCATTTCATTTGTTTGCAAATGTTTTGTAATAAATTATTAGCAATACAGTACATTAATTTTAGGGTATTTAAAAAAAGTCGTAGAAATAGTTTCTGTTTATTAAAACATTGAAAATGCCTTAAATTATAATTCATAAGAGACACAAGTTTTACTTTTTATAATTTACCAGAATAAATATAATTTAATAAAATAATAATCAAAAATTTATTAATAATAATAAAGTCTACAAAGAAAGCCATCAATTATTTACAATTGAAACAAATTTCAATAACTTTTACATAAGTATTATATTTTTAGATATTTCAATGATAATCTGCAACTATTATATAACTAATGGATTGCAAGTAAAACAAAAATACACTAGATATTTATACGGTATAACATTATTACAATAGTCTACAAGAAATACAAATACAATTAGTAATGCAATAAATATTTTAGCACATGAAGTGCTTAAAAATATATTACTTCATAAAAAAGTCCAGGGGTATCAAGTTATTAAATGTCTAAAACAAGTGACACTTTAATATCGAGATAATTAGGAGTCGATGAGTACTTTTATGAATTGATAAAAACACCACAAATAGTTTAATGGATAAGACATAAAGTCATTTCATATGAAATACAATACAATATTGTCACATTCATTATCAATAGATTTATATATATTTAAGTGGTTTTCAAAAAACTTACGATCGTTTTCAAGGATATAATATTCCATAGGTTTTAATGAATGGCTAATCAATTAATTTTTTAATTAAATGTATAATTATATACTATTTATACTTGGTGTGCACAATATATCTAAAAAGCTGTCTATAAATTTAAATGGCAGAGACTAATATGATTAGCACATAAAGTAGACTTCATATGTGTTTTAGTCGATGAATTGAATTATTATTGAAATATACATTTATATTTGAAAATGTTATCAAAATTTAATGTACAGGGTTAGAGTCCAGGGTTCAATGTAAATATACTATTAATGCGTTATAATGTTTTTCCAAATAATTTTTACTGGAAAAATAGATATTAAATGAATAACAAGTTATATAACTTATATAAACTAAGCTAGTATAAACATCTAAACATGCACACTTACTTGACATCCAATGTGTTTGCATAGCATTTGCATACAAAACCCAGTGTTTTGAGCACTAAATCCTAATTCACGCACAATATGTTTGCAACGAAATCATGATTTATATCGTATTAAACACAATGAGTAAAACACAATACAATCGCAACATTTTATGCCATATTTTTTCAATACAGACACACGAACTGTGCTTTCGATTCAATTGAGAGACAGAGAAAAACAAGTGAAAGGATTTGTTGAGGAAATGCTTTTTCCAACGAAATACTAGACTCCCTGTGAAATGTAAAACTGGTATAACATTGGATATATTGTGTCGTGAATTGAATAGTATTTTTTAAAACTAGAATTTCTCGATAGAAAAACCTGTTGTTTCGCAATTAATTTCTATACAACAAGTCTCTCTCTCTCTCTCTCTCTCTCATGCGTTTAGCAAAAGCCTTGGATACATCCCTTTAACCATTGATGGTATAGTTTGTCAATAGTGTACAAAAAATTAATTGTTTATTACACATTGTTATAATCAATGTACAGTATGTTATATTTTAAAATTTTTTATTATACAACCAAATCTGACTATATATTGTATCATACATGGATGTCAAACATACAATAACCTCAGAGTTAATTGTATATTAATTATTGTAATCGTAAACCAGTTTACGTCATAAATATTATACAAATCATACATGTGCCTTATTATTTTGTCATATTTCTATTGAATACTTGTAATTAAACTTATTTTATATTAGATTTATGATTTACAATATAAATTTTGTATAAGCAAATTAAATATCTGTATTTTAGATCTTTAAACATGTTATTTTAATATTCAGATAAACCTTATATACAGTACTAGAATACATACAGTAAGTAATAATAATAATAATAATAATATTCACAAAACTTATAAAAAATACTAATTTTGTAACTTTTTTCATATACGGTATTACAAAATTATCAAAATTAATTAAAGACCTTAGCAATGACCATGGACATACTTTCATTTATAAAATGTCATTTCTATCAATAATATTCATGTACTCCATTAACCTAGCCCATTTCATTTAAAGCAAATCTATGCCTTCATCATCAAACATTAAATGTTCTTGAAGTTTAAGCCCCGATTAACCTTGCTTACTATTCATCAATCAGCACTTGCCAATGTTTAATTATTTAAATAAAATTAACTTATGGAAAATTTTACAGTTAATCCTCGATGCCATTCATGTAGTCTAGGTGAATTATATAATCAAATATACTATTTATTTTATTTAAAAATAGTTTTTATAACTTTTTATAAGATTTATATTAAGCGCTACTCAATGTGCACGGACTTGAGATAACATAATAGTAATAATAGCCAGTTAACTGCATTTGTAAATTATATTATAATCAATGCTTATACCAAATGTCAGTTATAATGTTTTATCATTTGTTTATTCACGTTTAAAACACACGTAAAAATAGCGGCATTTTATAAAACCACTTAACTTCCACTGCCAGCACCCATTATAATGAACGCATACACTGTAAGTCAGTTACCGTGTTTTAGCGCAAACTGATGTGTCATTTGTAGTGCAGTCACACGTGATTTAAGTGCAAAATAAAAACAATTCATTGCATTATCGCTGAGTTTGCCATCGGATTCACCACAAGAAGTCTGTCGCCATAAGACACGCCACCGCTCAACACATCCCCAGTGACACCACTCGCAGACATCGGCGACAGACAATGGCATCGCATAGCGTCTTAACCGAGATGTTGATGGAAATGGGTTTCGACGACAAGAAAATGTATGTATTATCTCACGGCTGACCACCGATTGTCTCGCGTTACCACTCACTCACGAGTTGACTCATGACTCACACCACGCGTATAGCGTCAAGACGTTGAAGAGATTGGGCGATAAGGCGACCATCGAGTCAGCCATCGAGGCGTTAGAGTTGAGCCAAAACAGCGATGACCTGAGCGATGGTGAAGACAATGCCGGCGCCGCCGATGACAAGCCAAAGGGTGATGACAACGGCGCCGCCACTGACTCGCAAACGGGTGATCCCATTGAGACCGAGAAGGAGAGGGAACTGAAGCGACAATTATATGAAGAGAAGATCAAACAGAGGCGTATAGAACGGGAAGGTATGCAGTGTTGTCCCAAACACGACATGATATCGGATCCATTTGTGGTGATGATAGGCACCACGCGTTCACACGGCGGACACCAAGTGTTTGGCGTGCGATTTGCGCCCCAATAACAGGTCTATTGTCACCACAATTGTGTTCATATAATCGTTGAGACAATAATGCATTTGTGTCTCAACTCTTGGTATAACTCACACACACACGACACCATTGGATCCATTTGTGGTGATAATAGACTTGCGTTTAGACACAAACTCTTGATTTATTTCAACTTAATTACGAGTCTATTAGCACCGCATCTGTTGACACTAATCGATGGCATGCTATGTGTCCACAACTCACGAGTCTTAATGTCTTTTCACATCTGCAGAGAAGGAGAAGGAGGAGGAACTGAAGCGAGAGATCAAACGCCGCGAAGAGGGGAAAGGGATGGGAAAGATGAAGGAAGAGTTGGAACAAATGCAACGCATGAAAGTCGCTGAAGACATGCGCCGGGAGAAGGCGTCCGACAAAGCGGCCAAAGACGCCATTCTTCGCCAGATTGCGGCAGATCGCGAGGAACACCGGCGCCGCAACTCCGGACAGTCGGCACCGGCAGCCGTCACCCCTACGTCAATACCGGCGCCCGTGTCGGTGACTACCGCTGACGGCAAGTGCCGGCTGGCCATCCGTTTGCTCGACGGCCGACAACTGGTCAACGAGTTTGACAGCAGGGAGTCGTTGTCGGCGGTGAGGGTGTATGTGATCACCCAGTGCTCAGTGGACGGCGACATCTCGTTCGTGATGCCACCCCTCCCGGCCTTCTCCGAGGAGGACATGCAGAAGCCGCTCAACGTGTTAGGCCTGTGCCCGTCGGCCAGGGTTCACGTTATTAAACGTTAACGAGAGTTGCGATTTTAGGCTACCATTCCCCTCCTCTCTGTTTTGATACCCTTTCCCTCCCTATCTCTCTACTGTTGTTGAAAATTGTGTCCCATTTTCATCGTATGCTTTCATATGTTTTTTATTTGTATTACCCTTTGGCCACAGAGTCCTCACATTTTTGTCACTTTTAATTGAAATTAATTGAATTCTTTGTGTAATTAATTATTAATTTTTATAATTACAATAATTATTATTATATGAATTAAATCCGTGTTTTAATAGTGCACTGTTTTTTGTAGCGATTATATTGATATAATTTTGTATTTTATATAATTTCTAACGAAACAAATTTTTTCGAAACGAGTTTTTAATATAAATGAATAATTATTTAAACCATATTTGTTTAATAAAATTTGATTACAATTGACGCTAAGCTCTGTAATTGTGTGAATCGGAGGGGGGACTGGATTACTGGATTTAAGCTTAAAGGGTTAAAAATTATTTTAATTATCACAGTTTTATTTTAGGCTTTACCGGTAATTATATTTTCAGAGTTTACAGTGAATTTCAATTAACTTTTAATAGTGTTTACTCATTATTATGAAGTTCTGGCGTATGTTCTGTGTTTATCATTATAGGAATGGTATGGTTTTGTACAATAATTAGTAATTATTACCGGTAATTATATTTTATTTCGTAGATGTTTTTGTTAATGATGTTATTTACAAATAGCGAGTGTTTATTAAAATTATATTGATCTATTTTAATTTTAGTTCCATGGTATTAGAATGATAATAATTATACTGACTATTTTTAATAGTTCGGTATATCACATAATAAGTATAATCTAACATGGCCCTCTTGATTCAATTCATTTGTAAACCATAAGTAATAATTCAAATATGACTTCAATTTAAATATTTGTGTTAAACAAAAAAATTACAACAATTATATAAGATAAGGTTCTCACTTATATTGGATATTAAAATTAAACACAAAGCATTATCAATAAATTTTTAAATAATTACTAAATACTCAAGTTAAATACAAAATACAATTTTAATATTTTGGACATAGTATTAAAAGGAATAGAAAAATAATTTATGAGATATACTCTAAATAAAATTAATAATCTGAAAAATTAATTTCAAACTAATTTACTGTACTTTTATTTTTGATTTAATTACAAACCCATATCACTACGGGACAGGTATGTCGTGTCCATCACTTATACTGTCGTTGAGACTCATCATAGCTCGGCGGCGGATTAAATGGCATGGGATTTGCGTAATAAGCCGGGTATAGGGGCTGCAGTGGGGACAGGGCTGACTGTGTCTGGGCGTGTCGTATCACAATCGTGGGTTCGGGCGTCGATGGGCTGTCGTCGGTGGCGGCACTGGTGGTAGTGGTGGGCCCACTCGCCGGAGCCACTATTATGTAGGCAATCTGTGGCGGAACCACTTGTTCTTGTTGCAGGTGTGGGTGTAGTGTCAAATTAGGCGGACCCACGAGCACGTGACCGCTGATCACCCGGGTCTTGTTGCACTGGCCACAGTTGCAGCATATGAATAGTAGCAGGGAGAACACCATCGAGAATACCAGTATTGAACCGATTTGTCTGTTTAACGACAGCCCAATCACGCATGAGATGAACAGAATTGTGAAATATATTCCTACAGAATGTACACAATATTCTTAGTGATAGTCCCGTATAAGTAGATAATTGCTTATAAAACTGTAAATTATTATTTTCTAAAAATTTATTATAAATTTATGGACTAGATCTAAATGAAATAAAATTATTATTTTAATATTTTACGTTTGTAATCTAGCTTGTAAGCTTTTAATTAATGTTTTAAAAATAAATTATGTGCATATATTTAAGTATACCGTATTTGCTTAAACTTTGCTATTTATTTTATTTAGCCATAAAATATATTTCAATTTATATAAATCTAATGAAATATTTTCTTTAATATAATGTTTTTAACTTTGTATAAAGAAATGGCATATTAATTAATTATTTATGATAACATGCACTGTAATCGTTGTAATGTAATTAATAATATGATATTTGTTTTGATGAATTAATAATAAAGTATCATAGGTTTTGTTATGCACTTAATAACCATAATTACTATTAAATTTACATTTTATAACATTTTATTTTGCATGAAATGGTAGTTTTGTTTATGCTTGACTATAAAATTTTATTACACTTATAATGTACTTTTTTCTAAGTAAGTCAAAATAAAAATTGAAAAACAAACTAATTTTTGAAATTGATAACGTTTGATAAAAATAAATAAAAATAGTATAAACAAAGATTTATTGATTTTTACATAAATATGAATTGAATTCTGTTTTAGTATCTATCAAATAAATTATATTTTATATAGATTTTCATTTTTTTATTTAAACACTTGTATTCAAATTATTGAAAAATATCAAATACTGTATCAACTATTTGTTTAACAATTGTATTCCTGAATAGAAATTTTAGTTTCAATACTGTATAAAAACCTAAAGTAACATACCTTGAATAATTCTCTAACAACATATATTCATTTATTAAACAATGATATTTTAAGAATTTGTATTAGATTATTTTTTCATGTTTTTAAAAGGCACCCATTTAGAAAATTTTAAATAAATACTGGTAATAAAAATATATATTTATAAAAATAATCAAACATAATCCACAAAAATATGTCAATAGTGCATTGTACAGAATTAATGTAGAAATATTAACTCTACCGGCATATTGTTATAAATTAATATATTAAATACTGTATAAAATTATAATCCATATAAAAAATTGAATTGTAATATATTTTAAATTTATGTATAATTTTTAAAATGCAAATAATTATAAATGTAAATAGAATAATAATTAATTAATTATCCACAATATATAATACATGTACTTACGTAAAAATATCCTGAACACATATTTGCGTTCATTATTTAAATTACGATTTTGTTGTTGATTTTCATCAAACATTGTCCTATAATTATTATTAAATAACTACTAATTTAATTAAATACATTGAAATCACATCAATTCACTCATAATATATTAATTAACTATTAAGACAACAAAAATGACACAAATAAATAATGAATGAAAAATGTTTATTTAATAAGACAATAACAAAACAAATTCAACTTTTGTGTTAAAAAATATATTTTGTTTTATAAGATAAATATTTCATATGAATAGCCGAGTTGTATGAATAACAATTAAAATATAAATGTATTAGTGAACTGACATTTCATGTGTACATTATATGCATGTTTACGGCTATAGAATTCCTATCAGGCGTTCAAAAAGTCAATACATATGTGCTCTCTCTCTCTCTCTCTCTCTCTCTCTCGTTGTCGTAACCATACGTAAGCCCAGAATCCATGACAACAGAATTTTCCCCAGAATTGAGAGACTCATAGACAGTGTACACAAAGACTACTGGAGCTCACAATTTGCAAGCTTGTCAATAGTGGTTAATGTTTGCTATAAATACTGTATTAAGATTGGTGTATCGTATTATAAATTAATGATTAACTCATATCATATATACTTGTCAATTAAATGTACAAGACAGATGTAAAAATAATTGATTTACAAATTAAACTTAATATTTAACCCAATGTTAAGTGTATTTATACGTTATTAGAATCTAAATAAAGATATTCTCAATATAGATATACGAGTTATTAAGTTTTAATATTTTTTACATAAAAATTATACAATTAGGTATTATTTGCAGTTTTCGAAAATATAATTTAAAAATATTGCTAATTTTAGAATACATCTAATATGATAAATATACCTTATATAAATCACTAAAATATTTGTTAATTCTAGTACTGTACAAGTATTTTTCCACTCCATAATTTAACACAAACTAAAATCTACTGTAATACAAATCCCTTTTGCTACTTTTTACCTTCATTATCAAACATTAGACATTATTAAAAAATAAATAAAATTCATTTAATTTATGAATTCATTTTATTGTATGTTGTTGCAAATATCACAGTAATATTATATGTTAAGAATATATTAAAGTTACTTAATTATATAATAACATAGCAAATTAAAATGTTTTTAAGAACTAGCTTAAAAATATTTTTAATTATAATCATTTTCAATGGAATTGCAAAATTAAAATCCTTATAAATATGATAAGAAAATATTAGCAAATATAATTTGAACAAGTTCCTTACAGTATATGTCTACAAGTTTTTTATATAAATTCTCTGAAATATAAAACTTTATATTGACTAAAGTACTGGATACAATTGAATGGTCTATACTCTAGAGTTCATATTAATCTTAAATTATTTGGAAACCTAAAACCTATACGGATATAATATATGGAAAACATACAATACATATAATCTGGATAAGTCTCTCGAATGAATCCTCTAGAATTTGAATTGAAATTTCATGCCATTTGCGAAAATAAACAAAATACGAAATGTATTTTTCTCTAATATTTCACAAAATCAGAACATAACATAAATCAAAAATATAACAAGTGGCTATTTATTTCAAGTACACCAGTTAGGTTTACACAAAACTTTATTTTAATATTTCGCAACTACTGTATGAGAATATAATTCTGGTATTGAATTGCAAATAATTTAGTAGTTATTTTACTGATAATGTATTAATTATAATAAAATAATAATGATTTTGTAGTTATTAATTAAATGTTAAACAATTAATTAAAATAAAAATAATTAAAGTAGTTTATATTAAAAACTAAAATCAAGCATATTATGCAATTAGATGTAATCGTGGTTAAATGAATTAATATTAATATATGAATTAATGAATAAATAAGTGAGTGTGTGGGAGAGTGGGAGAGTGAGTGAGTGAGTGAGTGATTGAGTGATTGAATGAATGAGAGAAAGAAAGAGAGAGAGAGAGAGAGACTCTAAAAAATAACATATTAATGATGAGAGTATGCGCTCATCACAATAGTAAATGCATTCAACAGAGTGTCACATAATATATTACTCGATGTAATATTAGTTGAAGTAAATAACATTGAAAATAACTTTTCTTTGGCTAAAATGTTGTCAAAAAGTAGAGACCAGGCATTTGTCATAAACTTAAACCATATAGAGATGACAGACACGAGAATATTCTGTGACTTAAACTTCTTATTAGTTATATTCGGTTTGAATGAAAGCGACACTAATTTGTGCACAATTGGCAAATACTTGGCCAGAAGTATCACCTTTTCGTATCAGTTTTATTGCCTGGCCTTTGGTTTGGTGGACCTGACCACCCACCCATCGGAACTGTACTACAATCTGGCCCTTGAATTCAAACGTATTATAGCTTTCATAACATATTTGATAATTATGATGAAAAATAGTCAACTCTTCAGATTTCAGGTAAAATGTAACAAGTTCATTTCTATATAACTTGCAGAATATTCTGTTAATTGCAAAATGATACCCAAAGCAACATGTATTTGTAAAACCTAATTGAATAGCTAGTAATACATGATAATAGTAGTATTGATGACTTAGTAGTATTGTATATGTTTTATTTCATAAGATTTTGAGCAAATACTGAGTAAAATTAGTTTTGTTTGCGAAATAAAAACAAAATACCATACAAAAACTAATGAATNCAACATGTATTTGTAAAACCTAATTGAATAGCTAGTAATACATGATAATAGTAGTATTGATGACTTAGTAGTATTGTATATGTTTTATTTCATAAGATTTTGAGCAAATACTGAGTAAAATTAGTTTTGTTTGCGAAATAAAAACAAAATACCATACAAAAACTAATGAATTGCATTGAAAAGGTTTCTTATCACGAGTTTCATTAAGATTCACTACATATAGTAAACAATTATTTGCTAAATGAATTTTAAATCATTATATAAATTTTATATCATTAAATTAATAATAATTCTAAATTAAAATATATCATACAAAAAATTTGTATCTAGTATACATATGATATTAGTTTGTAATACAATTAAATAAAACCACAAAATAGGAGGTAATTTGGATTCGTTTGGATTTCAATGAGAAACGAAACGTCAAAACCATGTCCACTGTCTTGAAATACATATGGATTATAGCGATGATCGTGTGTCCCATCGGACACCTGTCCTACGAATCGCAGATATTTTCCATCATAAAGGCGTCCACTGAATGGCGACCGACGGCTCATATAGTGGTCCGGGAGACCATCAGATGGTTGATGTGGTCGACGTTCAACTTGGGATGGCTTATAGTGAGTGTATCGCTGTATTCATACATCATATTCGCTTACT